GTCCTGGATATTGCCCTGATTTAGTTTTTCTAGATGAGTGTTGAAGATCCTGTCTATTTTGCTCTTGTGTTCCTCAAGCTTCTTGTCCATGTCACATAAGGAGATAAGATCCTTATGCGTGGAGGAGCAAAGCTTTTTGAGGAAGATCTTCCGYCTCGATAGATCGATGGGCTCAGGTGGCAAACGTGAAGAATTCWTGGGTTCCGATGACTTCATTGTTGCGGTGCTGTACTAACAAACAAATATGATGAGAATGGCAGTGAAGAATGGATGACCAGCGGTAATGTGTTGTTGTAAATTGTGAAATATTGCTTGTTTGTAAAACAACGGATTACAAACACGATTGTTTTGATTGGATTTCAAATAGTGAATGTGTGAATGGGTTCAATACGCACACAAGACACAACGTCGTCGTTTAATTCTAATCATGATGAATACAATGGCGACACGGTAGAGAGAAGAGGCTGGCACCGTGGACTACTTGGATTTTGGTGAAAGCATAGGAATACGGTCCAACGTGTTTTTTAATTGTGACCAATTTCTGGCAACACAATGGTGAACATAACAGTGGTGGGACTCAGGGTTGCTTCTACCTCAGAACAGAAATAAAACTGGTTTTCCATAACAACCATTCGCAACCCTCGCAACCACGGTTATGTTTGAACGCGACCAAAACCATGCCATGCGTGAGGTTCAGTGGGCGCGTGAAAAAAAAAGGTGTGTATTTTTAAAAAAAAGGTTGCGAGTGGTCGCTACTGCTTGCGAACACTTTTTGTGACGTAGTAGTAGTAGTAGTAGTACCACCAGCAGTGCAGGAGAGCTACTAATGCTACTTGAAACTCACTCCATGGTGGGATTGAAAATTCTAGTCCCCAGAGCAAGCATGCCAGCTATGAAGCTGGTCTTTGACGGATTGCTCTAGTTCATTACAGCAACTACTGCTGCTGCGTCCATTCTTGCTAGAGAGCAACTGTTCATTGTTAAGCTTGTTCTTTACTATGCTTTATTGCTGTGCGCCATGGAAATAAACGCTAATTTTGTTCTTTGAGAAACTTCTCAATATCATTTAGGTGTGACTCGGCATCATAGAATGCACTGATTGGATCAATTCCAGAGGAGGAAGCAACCGAGGAATCAAAAGAGTGGAAAGATTCAGTGCTTTCTTCCATTTGTTGCATGAGTTCGTCACTATCGAAACGTTGGCTGTTTGTGCTCATACTACCAGCAGGAGAAGGTGGCAAAGGTGTCAACAAAGGTGAATTGTTAGCAGATGGGTTATTTGTTCTCGGCTTCTTCCTCCGGTGCTGGTTGTTCTCCTCCTCGTTGTCTGCTGGTTTAGGACGCAGACGCGGAGGACGGGGACACAGAGGACGTGGTGGAGTAGTGCTACTAGTGATTGGGGAGGGGGGAGACTTACCCATCTTTATACTACCACCTCTCTTGGTATTGATAGGAGACTGGAAGATAGCTGGTCCTTTGTCATCCTCTTCTTCCATTTCCTTGAACTTGAGCTGAAGGATCATTGCATCAGCAGACTTCCCCCCTCCAACCTGAATAGGAGCAACAAGGACATCTGCAGCATAGATATAAGTATCCATCCTGTTTCGAAACTTAAGAAAGCCTTCAGACCAGATGCATCCATCACGTTCTTTGAGATTCTTTGCTTCGATTCCCATGCTAGTCCAGAGGCCATGAGTTCTATCAAAGGTTGGATAAGCAGTTCCTTTTGCATCTGTCGACATATCTAAATCAACCTGTGTCATGCAACTTCTCATGAAATCAGGCCACTTGCAGCGAACACTGAAGGTATGTGCATTAACCCATTGAAGAACAAAGTCTGATTCTCAGGCACCAGTGTGGATAAGCAGTCTAATCAAAACAAAGTCTACCATATCATCAGTTTGATGGTCAAAGGTTGTCCATCTTCCGGAAAGAGCTGGATACATGAGAGATCCGCTAACCCACTGCGTGTCTTTGTCAGGGGTAGTCTCCTTCTTCTTGCTGATAGACATACTCCTTCCAGCAAGCTCTGAAAGCATTTCATCTGTTGTTGCCGGTTGTCTTTTTCTAGGCATGTTGTTGTGTTCCTCTTCCTCTTATTCCTCTTCTTCAGATTCTTCGAACGTTACCTCTGCTTCTTGTTCCTCTTCCTCCTTGTTCTTCGCTCTGGCAATTGCTGCAAGCTTTGCTTCTACTTCTTTGTATGGATCAATAAGATTAATTCCTCGGTTCTGTAGATCTTGGGCAAGTGCTGCCATACTCTAAACAGCAGCGTGAGCAACGAGGCACAGGCACCGGTTATAAAGGAACGGACAGGCAGATGGTGACGTACCTTCCCAATCTTGGGCCAACTCGATTTTTTTATGTTCTTTTGGATGTAAGCTGAGCTTCTGTAGTTGTAAATAGAAGAAGGCCTGTTGCTAGGATCCCAGCCTTGTTTCCCGTCTGTTCTCAAATAGATCCAGTAGTTATAGCAAGCGATTTGCTTTGACAGCTCTAGTTTCTGGTATATCGGTTCCGGATTCCGACTCTGCTCTTCCTGACGCTTGCCTTTCTTTGAGGAGCATGAGCCAGCTCTTGCCATTTTGAATTATGAGGGCATCGGAGCCCCAAACGTCGCCTTATTGTTATACCATGCTGCTCACTGTTGTTAACACTGTTGCTTGTTGTTATTGTGCTGCTGCTGCTGCTGCTGCTGCTGCTTACGAATGAGCAATCCTGTGAAGCAGTCCTTTAGTAGTAGAAGAGTTTAGTTCATTTTAAACAGCAGTCCCGGAGCAAAAAATCCTTTTATTTATGCTAACTTTTATGTGAAATAAGTGTTTACCACAACCGTTACCAGAACAGTTACCAGAATCTGGTAGAATTTATGGTAGCAATCCTGGTAAATTACCAGTCTACCATCATTCCTACCAGATTGCTACCAGAAACGCTACCAGATTGTTACCATAAATGCTACCAGAAATGCTACCAGAAACGCTACCATAATATATGCCGCGCTACCAGAAATTTTTTCAAATTTCCCAGCCCCCCCCTTGAGTATCGAATTTCATAATTAGTTTGTGGGACTGTTCAAATGGGTCTAAGTAGTGTCTCACGTGGCGTCTACTAATTCCATTCCAGTAACGGGTCTAGTAGCAAACGTACGTGGTAAAATCTTCAATGATGATCGTCCCCGGGACATTTTGAAGAAAATAATCGAAGTTTAGAACTTGAAATTTTTACTTTTTGCTCTCTGGCGGAGTCTGGTTTCAATTGTTACGAAACTCGTACCGGTAGTATTGGAGACCTTAGTACGGTTCGGTCATTCATTGTTACTAGTACAACAAAAGCATCCTATCTACATTTACGAAATATGATTAGACAACAACTGCTTGACTTAGACCTTTGAACGGTCATTCATTTTTATATATTATTATTAACAAAAGCTTCCTCTCTACATTTAAGAAAATATGATTTGTCAAGTTATACTTTTGAACATATTCTTCTTTCATTGATTAGGCTATAAAAAAAATTGTTCTTGGAAATTCGTAAATGTTGGGAGCTTTAATCACATCTTCTGTTAAATGACTCTTAAAACTTACAGCGCTGTCTTAAGGTAATTCCTCCGTCTAGGAATTAGATAAGTGAAATACTGTTGATTATTTTGTAAAAAGAGATGTACGAAGAAGATATCGTCGAATCATATTAACAAACTACTACAAGTACTAAATTCCTCCCCAAGGAATGCGATAATCATACAACAACGACTTCTGTTTCTACACCACAATTGATAGTATAATTCAAAAATTGTTCCACAACTTTACTATTAGATAAAATTTAGTGTGTCCTCCTTAAGGGCATATATTTTATTCATTCAAACCATTTTACTTATATTAATTCTTATTCGACCAATCTCATTCGTTATGTATTTATTTCCATACCGTACTTACAGTAACGAATCATTATTTCCATAGTAGAATGATAATAGTGGGATCATGATAGCTACGAGTTCGTACTACAACTTGCTTTGTGTTGTGAGGGGATGTTTTTAACAGCTCTCAAAATAGAGAAAAACACGATCGTAAAGCAAATCCAACACAACTTCCCATGGTACGACTCGTTACACCCTTATTTTCTGTCTTCTGAAAAGTGAAAAGGTTTCAAACATGTCCAACGACGTCATGTCAAGTGTAGATGGATGTCTTTTGTCATCCAATCTAAGCATTGAATCTCGTGGAAGTGACATTCCTGAATCCGTTCTATCGGTGTCGGAGGCCGACGCTGAAGCTGAAGAAGACGAACCACTTCCCAATAACATGACTCGATTGGATCCCGATGAAGCCTCGAATGAAGGATCAGACGCAGACGAAAGTATAAATGAAGAAAAGAAACCATATCCAAAAGCGCACTTTAAGAGTGACGCTTCTACGAGCTCAAAATCAGAAAAGCTTGGGGAATCGGATCCTCCCGATGTTCGCTTAGTAAAAAGAGACCGTGTTTCGACAAGCTCAGCCACAAACGATGGTTGTTCTTCTCAAGAATGCACGTCCTCTTCGTTGCCACAGGCGCATTCCGCTTCTGAAATTAATTCCAACCAAATCCCATCCATGCCGGGAGCCTTTGCAATCGAAAATCCACTGTTTGAATCATTGGAACGAAGAAGATCGGCATCTTTTGGTAGCTACAGCGATTCCATTGCAACGTATGGACACAATACTGATGACAGAATTGCTATCTCGGAAGCAACACCACCACTACAGGAACAGATGGATCGTGACACGGAAGAGGGCATGGTTGTGCGAGCCGTGCGCGTAGAGGAGCACGTATTTGAGGCAAAACTTGTTGATCAGAATAGCACTGCGAACCCTCTAAAGAGATTGAAGAAGTGTTGGTGGTTGATAGCAATTGCTGTTACATTAATAGTGGTGATAACGCTTGCCATACTTCTTACCAAGGAATCAGAGGTAGACGAAACAAACGAGGTCATAAATGAGACGACGATACATTCGACGGAAAGTTCTCGAGTAAAAGAACTGCGTGCAATCCTTGCTCCGCTGAATGGAGACGGTGTCTTCGACAAAAATAGTACTGAATTCTCACCAGATCGTTTGACTGCACTGAATTGGCTCGTTACAGATGATTATTTTTCAAGGTATTCCTTCGATGAATTCAAGATTCGCCAGCGCTATATTGTAACTTTGCTGTACTTTAGTACAAATGGCCAGGAATGGATAAACCAGTTATCCTTTCTTTCAGATCGGGACGTGTGTGATTGGTCCGCAGTAAAGACTGTCGATCGTGGAAACCAATTGGAATCTTTCGTTATCACTGGTGTCATTTGCAACAAGTTGGGCCAAGTAGAAACGATCAAGATAGGTAAGTACCAGTCGTTGGTTTCGTCGTTTTGGAGGGATCTACCCGGTTCTCGTTGATTTGAAATATATCCTTCTCACAACAGGTTGAAACAATGATATTGCCGTGCGAACCAACTTGCAGAGGGGAACAATTTATCGGGCACGATCCCCCCCGAAATACGCCACTTCTCCGATACCATTATGGAAATTAGCCTCGGTGAGGGTATGCTTTCGGGGACAATCCCTTCCTCCTTTGAGGAGTTCAAGGCTCTTGAAATATTTGATGTGAACAGCAACTGTTTGAGCGGTCCTATTCCCAATCTTTCCCGTATTCCATCTATCCGACGTTTATCGCTTGAAAACAATTTACGACTCTGGGGGTCGCTAAATGGATTTTGCGATCACAGCGAGTACAATAACCCCCAAATTGATTTCATAAGGTCAACGTGCGGCGGCTGTTCTGGAAAAGAGAAATCCGCACTAATAGAATGCGACTGCTGCACTTGTTGCAACGAGGAGGATTTGACTTGTTGCGACTCACAAGGAGTATCTTCGACGACGTCCCAGTACGGGTACTCATACTCCTCTCCGTTTGAGTGTCCCGCCTAGACACCATTTCATTCAATCCTACCCACCCGTCACTTTGTATTCTTTCGACATGGAAGTAGTCTTTCATTTGTTGGTGAGATAGTCTTCCGAACATCTTGAAAAAGAGACACCAGGATAAACCTGTCGTTGCTGGACAACTCTTAAATGAAAAGTAGACAATCGATTTCACCATGGATGGCGCCTTTTCGATAGCCATCACTTTCATCGTCTACAATATGACCTTCCAAAGACGCAAATCAACCCTCCATATCTTATCGACTACTCCCCAGTTGCTGCTGGAAACTATGTGATAACATTTGCCTGAGGTTGAGTTGATGCATCTTGAATCTGGGACATAATGATTCTTAATAAATTAGCAGATGCGTGATGTCAATAGAAGTAGACTGAAGGTGCGACAAGTAGATGTTTTGAAATACGAAGTATTATATTATTATTATGTTGATATTTTTCGAAAGAGGAGAAAGGCGCAATACCATGACAAGAACAGGAACCTATAAGTTCTAAGTGGCTTTTCGCGGCAAAGTTCCTCTTTGACGAAGAAAACCACGAGTGGCGAGGTCCAAGAAGTGTAACCAGTGCTCTTCTCCTTCTTTTTTTACTAATGCTAGAATCTACTATTATTGTAGCATCAGCATCACTTGACAGAAAAAAATATTTAAGAGAGAGATTGCTCCAACAAGGGTCACCTACTAGTACTACTAATAGTGCCAAATTGAGAGTAGAGTTTACAATAATTCTATCCAAATACTGAGATCAACATGGGGATAGAAAGTAGACCAGAAAACAGGGTGCCATTGTTAAGCATACTACTAGTAGTAATGGTCTACCCCTGTTGGTTCCCCTCCCCATGTTGTACTACTACCAGTAGCACTACCAGTACACCATACAACTTTGTCAGTATCAGGATCTTAGCTTGACACTAGTATGGGATGGCCCTTCTTATATCATATGTGCCTCCTCCTTCCCTACTGTAGATTTCACATTCAAGTTTCTGCACAGTACAACTGCAAAATGCTTGATTAGTGGCTTTGTTTTAACCACAATAGTAGCCACCACAGGAAAAGGCAACCTGAACTCAGAAATGGGGGATTTGTACTGGTGAACCTCCTTCCTGCAGGATGCAACATGTTTTTTGTTATTAGATCAGGTGATTTTGCCTCTACTGAGTAGGCCAAACCGCTCAATTACCTTTGCTTGCCCCTTTGCTTGTCCCTCATTACTGCCAGATAAGAGAAGGACTGGCTCTCTGGTACTCATCAAGCCACTACCTACTAGTAGAAATACTACTACTAGGTGATAAAAAGTTTCATTTTAAGTTTAAATTTCTTGTGATGACAGTACTACATACTGGTAGTAGGTCCAAGAATACCAGCAATGAAGTGATGGTTCCACCACTTCAGCACTACTAATTTCATGTTGTTGTTTAACAACTTTGGTTGTATTTTTGGCTCCTACTGGTGCTGCTGCCACCCATACTATTTTTCTTGTTCTTGGAGAACTCAAACTATATTGCTAGCTACTAAATTTTTTCTTGCTAGCTACTAAATTTTTTCATGGTACTAGTAGTACTAATGGGCCCTCTGGTACCCACACAGTGTGAGTGAAGTTTGAAGCCTTGCAATCTTGTTGCATGCATGAATAATTTATTGGGCACATGAATCAAACTTCCAAAGCTCATGGAGTGTATGCACATCCCATTCATATCCCCTTTTCCATATTTGCCCCCTATAATTTGTGGGTTATTTTTTGCTGAAAAAAAAAACACTTATCAAAAACATGGGTTACTATTTTTAGGAAACAAAAAGCACAAAATAACCCAAGAATAAATCAAAAATCTTTTTAATCTCAATGGTTCTGTTTAGGTTACATTGGCCTTTTTGATCTGTACTGTACTACTCTATGACAATAGTAGTACTTATACTCAAATTCATTAATTGTTGTTGACATTCATTTTCCTTGAACAACATATCACTTTTCAATCATCCGTGATGACAAAAAGCTTTCTTAAATGCATCATCTATGAACATCACCTGTAGCTTATTTCTTGCAAATTGCATTGACTAGCTACAAATTAGTAGTCATCATATTCATTTTCCTTGGATGTGATAATCAATTGTTGTTGACATTAATCACTTTCTTATTATCCATGACAACAATTACCTTTCAAGAATGTAGTACCATTGGTGAACATCACTAGCTTCCTTGTAGGAAGTTTTGCCATCTAGCTACAAATTAGTTATCATATCTGAACCTTTCCAAATGGAAAACACTRCTCCAACTCATGTTGTCACTACAGACAAAATGCTAGCTAATGGACTCCTGATCCTTGCTAATCATTCAGATTAGCAAGAAATCAATTGATGTGGCAAAAAGAAGAATCTCCAAAGATTCAGCATCAATTTTGGTGCCTCGTCCTGCAGTGCTGTGCACAATTTAGTATAAGGATCTGCAAAAGACGAACAACAAGTTTATCTGTTTCTTGGAGGGGTTCATGAAATATATTTCCAAGATTCTGATTACTTTGGTCACAAATTCAACAAAGCTGCTGGTATCAATTACAAAATCATAATATATCTTGCAACAAGAAAGGTGATATGGATGAATGGTACATTCAAAGCAGGAAGAAACAATTTGCAAATCTTTCTMAAAGAAGGATTATTGGAGAACTGACTGCAAGTTCACTGCTCTAAAATGACACCATGAATAGCTGTGTATTCAATATAGAATGCGTTAACCGTAAAAAGTCTACCACGCACTACAGGAAAAAAAGTAATTTTACTCAAACTGATTTATTCAAACACTATCTTCACCATGGTGAGACTGATAACTTCACAACCAGAGTACCTATGAGCACAAAGAAGAGAACCATTATGAATCTCTTTGTCTGTTTAATAAGATCATTGAATGCCATTTGTGTTGCTTCTAAAATCACTTAGCTACTACTGCATTATTGAATGGGGCAAAATGACCCAAATTTGTTAATTTTCAGCACTGGCCATGGAGAGAGCTGCATCTTCATAACCAAGCATCAGATCTTTATGAGAGTTGGACGAGTGCAAAGAGCACTATCAAATTAGTACACCCACCTACTACTGTCTTTGTCTAAGGAGTTGTATTTGGTGCCAAATAAATTTTTGAAACAGGTCCCATGAAGCAAGGAATTTTGTTGTTGGAAGAATAACAACACTATCACGTATTGCAAAACGGCTATAAGGAGTGCACGGGTTGACCGGAAACTCAAGGCCCACGCTATGATGATAAGGAGGGCTCCCTGGCCAATTCTGAGTTTACAATCAAAAGATCACTGTCAGGGTGAATTAAAAGATCACTATCAGGGTGAGGTGTGCAGAGCTAAGAAGCACCATCAGGTGACTTTTGGTTGAGATGTTACGTATGTACGTAGTTTTAGTACCATGGTAGGAATCCTACGTACATACATACGTAGAGTTAGTAGGACTGAGGTAGGAATCCTACATACGTATGATACATACATAGATTTAGTACCACTGTAATAAATCTACATAGTAGGCGTTTTACATATGTAACTTACTGAGGGGCGAGAAAATTCCAAGTTTTTTGTTGAATTGGTTGCTTCATCGGTTGCTTAATCGGTTGCTTCTTAATCAGTCGTTGCTTTGAAGTTGTTAATCAAAACAGTGTTTTGTGATGCCATCAAAAGTGCTGAAGAACCAGCTCAAATGAGATCCCCTTTGGGGATATTCTTTGTCATAGTGTTAAGAAGAGTGCTGTGTGTCATGGTTACACGATCAGGGGCCTGGGGGGAGGCAATTCACCATTAACAGCCAGTATGGCCAAAAACGGCTGGTTTACAACAACATGACCGCCTGCTGGTTAGAAAATAGGCCAGAACTCTATCAAAAAACAACTAAGGCCCAGTCCAAGTTGATACAATTACTTATAGATCCAGGTCATTGGGATGCTTAGGGATGCTCTGGCGGCTGAGAACTGGTCTGCCGAAGTTACAGTAGTAGTGGGCCAAAATTCCTGTGTTAATTTTAGGTGTAATTTTATTACGAATTAACTGGTACCGTACGTACTACTCGTATCCTGTCCGACCATACGGTAGCATACAAGTGGTACCAAATCGCATCATGCATTTTTTCGTCGGAATCGAAATAGGGCAATACTAAATTTAGTCCAAGAACGCACCTCCTCGGTAAATCCGGTGCGACATCATTGGCTCTCTTGTGGTTGTGACGCGTCCTTTTTCGGAAAGAACGAAGAAGATACAAGTTGGTCACTATCGTATAGCGTGGGCCACGCGTTTCCGGCCGAAAATATCGGACATTTTTTAATACGAATATTCGTACATGAATATCGATCAATATTCAACGTACGCCGTTCTCCCCCACGCCATTAGAAAGCTCGTTGAATTCTCTTTTCAACCATGTGCTTATCATACTTAAGCGTCCGTTGGGCGAAAAGTTACAGCTGTTCGAGTGAGTTGAACCTCTCTTATTGCCCTACTTGTTTTTTGTACTGTGCGGGGATTTTCTGCCATCTTTTTATCGTGTAATGACTCGTGGGATTAAAAATTTCACTTGTACTGCAGTTTACAGCGGGCACGTGCTGAATTTTTGTATCCCACATCCGTGCGACCAAATAGTTTCGCGCTTGCATGTGCACGCTGTAGCCCTGGTACAAGTCAAATTTTAATCCCACGAGTCATTACACGGTAATTAGATAGCAAAAAATCCCCGATATTATCGTACCTCTGCTGGCCAACGCTATACGATAGATCGAAAAATGAGAAATTTCGTTGGTATCGTCCGGAGACCGGAGACGCAGAAGTACTACGTTAAAAACTGTTTTCTGCTTCCGTTCAGATTGACTGATTTGGTTGACCATTCCGGATCATGGTATTTTATCGTACCGGTACAGCTGTACAAGTACCTCGTATTCATTACCCACCCTGTACATGCTAGACGGTAAAAAAAATACTGTATTGTATTGTACAATACAATTTGTACGACTACTCGTACCGGTACTACGCTTCCTACTCGTACGAATTTCCTGGTCTTTCGGATACTTTGATTTCCTTAGTTGAAGATTCCTGCAGTTTTCAAAACAAAACCACGACGAACCGCGTGGCAACAACGCTCATGAGATTGAAGGACGAACACACAGATTGCCTCTTGTCCATATAATCGCGTAGCAAAAGCCAACAGAACAGGAGGATGGAAACCACGGCGAAGCCAGTCGAGGAAGATTGCCATCCCAAAAGGGGCACCACCAAGCAAGCCGAGGTTCCGGGCGCGGCGGCAGAAGCGGCGTTTTCTCCCGCGAGAGACAACCGAGGCCCGCGCCGCGAGGCGCTCTGCTGGCGGTGTCTGCTGTTCCGAAACCTTCCCAAGGGATTTTTGGGCGGGAGGGACCTGGTGGAGGAATGCCTGCCGGAGCGGATTCGGCGGATGGTCTACTGCGAGTCCTCCATGGATTCCATCATGGTCGAGTTCGAAACCGTGGACGACCGCAGAAGGCTTCTGGACAAGCAGAGGCGAAAGCAGAAGGCGATGGCGAACGCCAAGAAAGGGGCGCTCCCAGAGGGGTCTCCGCCAAGGCGAAACGCACCGAAAAAACCGCTGGAATTCCACATCGGGGTCCTCGCCGAGCGATGCAAGTCCGAACTCTTCGTGACGAAGCGGTTCGGGGTTTCTGCCGCTCCTCTCCCGGCCCAGGGATCCGAGTCAGAGGGAACGGAGGCACCGCGGCCGGTCTCCCTCGCCAAGCGGTGCCTCCTGGTGCGGCGGCTCGTAGACCCCGGGGAAGGGACCGGTCGCGGGCCAATCGAAATCCCTGACTCCGGCTCCTATCTCGGTCCGAAAGACCAGGGCGGCAGGAGGAAGAGCGGGGGCAACCCTCCCCCCTCGGTTTCCAAGCCGATGGAGATCCGTGCCGGAGCCCACCGCGAGCGCGTGGTCCGGTGGGCCCTGAAACCACACGCCAAGGGGTCTTCCCCCCCCGTGGTCCTGGAACTGGAATCCGAGGAAAGCGTGGAGCGGATCGTGTCGGAACTGGAAGCGCGGACCGGGACGGGCGGCGAAAGCGAGGTGGCCGCTGCCGTCCTGGCCGTTCCGGTCTGGATCCTGCCGGTTCGGTCGGAAACCCACGCCAGGTTCTGTTTCCGGGGCGTCCAATCCCTATCCGGAACGCGCGGTGCCAAACCCGTGGGGGACGGAGGAAGGAACAGCCCCGCAGCAGAAACGCACAGCACGCGGCAACAAGCAAGCCGATCGTTCGCGGAAAGATCCCCCCAGCGACACGAACCACCGGCCCCAACGACACCGGCCACACCGCAGCAGCTCCAACGGGTGACACCAGGTGCATCCGCCGAAGGCAGCGACGAGGAGCCGTCTGGCAAGGAGCAGGAGGACCGGGAAGAACAACGGCAACAGGAAGAGAAACAAGAATTGGCAAACCTTGAAAAGAAGGAGCAGCAAGACCGGGAAGAAAAACTGCAAGAGGAGCAAAAACAGAAACTCGCGGACCTGGAAAAGAAGGAGCAGCAGGACCGGGAAGAAAAATTGCAACAGGAGCAAACACAGAAATTCGTGGCCCTGGAAGAGGAGGTCCGAGCCCTCAGGGAGGAGAAGGACCGCCTGCAGGGCCAGCAGAGAGCGGAGGGACGCCTCGACAAGCTGCAATCCGAGCACAGCGACCTGCTCCGGGAGCACCGCGGATTGCTGGAAAAGGTCGAGCGGTCCATGGCCGACCTGCGCCGCGTCACCGAGGAGAGGGATGCCATCCGCTCGGTGTACGACCGGTCCAGGGCGGCCTGGGAGTCCCGGTTCGAGCTCCTGATGGAGGCCAGACGAAAGCAAGCCGCGGCGGGTGCCGGCAACCCCGGGGGTTGCGCTCCGGTGTGCCCGGAGTGCGAGACCTTTGAGTTTTACAGCGGGCTAGCGGCCGCTCTGGCGGGAGACGACGACCGCGAGGGTGGCGAAGCCCCCGGGCAAGCTGTACACCCCAGCGAATCCCACAAACAAGATCCCGGCGAAACGACCGAGCCGGGCAATCCCGAGATGGAGAACGAGATCGAAAACATTGCCTCGATGATCAACGGCATGACCCTGTCCCCCTGCGAACCTGCCGAGAGTGCCAACCCGGTAAAAACCGAAAGCGAGCCGCAAGCCGATAACCAGATCGAGAACGAACCGAGGCAGTCAATGGACGGCACCAATTGCTAGTATTGTTCATGCCCAATAGATGTGCTACCACAGGGGAGACTGCCTCCCCCTCGAAACAAAGGCTAGGGATTTTTGAACCGGCAAAACAAAATTTTCAAGTTTAAGGAGTTGGCGACCTTTTTTTTCGTGGCCCATCGGTTGCTTCGACATTGATGCAACCATGCAGACTGCGTGAATTATTTGGCGACACAGCTATGTTCGTCTGGGCGCAATGAATACGTCCATGTTCGTTTCTATTGTTCGAATTTATCGAAACAAAGCCGACATCGGTCACCTTACTCTCCGAGTTTTGCTGACATTTCTGGTACAGACGAAAAATTCCTCATCGGAAGTGGCGATGACTGGGAGATTACGGAATTGAGAGGAATGGATTCGATACTTACGAGCACCGAGCATGCTTCATCAAAACGTCGAACAAGAAATCGAAAATCCACGCGACAGGAAGACAGAACGAATACCTATTCAGCAATATCGCAATGCCAACCGAAAACAAATCGATTTGCTTTCTACGCGGCGATAGTTTTTGGTTCAGGTACTACGCTACTTGGTTCTTGCCCGTCTTGTATGTGTAACGCGATGGGAAATTACTGTATCCAGATGTGACTATTTATTCCAATAATTTTTCCCTCTACGTGTACCCGGCGCGCCAACACATGTTTCCACTATGAATTTTGTCACGGAGCCCTATTGAACAAGCAGCCCCCAGCGATGTTTTGTGTCTCGGAGCCCAGGCCGACGAGCAGTCTCTATGCGTGATATTCCTTTTCGAGATTTATTGTTGTATTGAGCAATGGTGTTTCTTTTAAGGATTTATGAGCGTCACCATTGACATGCAGCAGTGGCACGTGTCACAATTGAATATGATAGTCAACATCAGAATTCACCACGACGATCCCAGATGTTTGTAAGCGGAAAGCACTTATTGGAGACGCGACCCTTGCGCTTTCTTCCATTCGTTGAATGACTCACGGACCGTTCCGCAATTCGCAATGGAACAAAGTCTCGAAGATAATTGGGAAGATCACTTCGACTGATGAATGGAACGGCATGCCAACGGATGCCCCCGGGTAGGATCTTTCAGTAAGATTTGAAATTTTTAATTATCCAATCAGAAAGATCAAGCGGAAACCGTATCTCAACCAACGCAAAGATACTCGGTAATTCTTTTCTTCTAAATCGTTTTGGACCCGTTGAAAAGCAATCCATTTCTACAGCTTTGTCAAACCAGGATTTTTCCGCTGCAAACACGTTTTGTTTTCGATCGAGTAAAATCATCATCTTCGTTCCATAAGCTTTCATTCGAGACCGAGTATCAATCGTTTTCGCCTGTGATAGATTGCTTTGCTTCTGCAAGTTCAAATACTTCCAGAAGTTTCTGAGATACAAAACACTAATTGAGTAACGTTTGAAGGAAAATGCAAGATTCTAGTGACAAGAATCGCCAAAGCTGGCACCGCCATCGTGAGCCATACTCTGGAACTCTAGGCTTGAGCGGTATGGATGAGGACTACGTATCTATTGCCAAAGCTGGAGAGGACAAGAAGGACGACCATGTGTCGGCCATGAAGGACACGAAGGAAAAGGGATTAGAATACGCGTGGATGGCAGGAGATGGTGGAAAGGAAGAAGTAGATAGTGTTGCAATTAACATCAGTGATATTGCAACGAGTTTTTTGGAGGATCCAGGGGAGAAGCAGATGATCACCAATTTGTTTGTCAGTCAAGGTTTTGAAGGTAAGGATATCATTGGGAAGGAGAAGAAGGATAGCGTCGTGTCTGGTATGGAGGACAAGAAGGAGAGAGAAGTGGATGATATTTCCAGGAGAGTTCTTACCAGAGAGGTTGAAGCTGTTGAAGAGAAGCAGGAGTATCTTGGTGTTAATGATGGCAATCTCTTCAGCAAGATAGGTAAAGGAATGCAAATGGAGAATGAGAAGCAAGTCGATAGGTCTGGAAAATGGCACGTTCTTTCCGATTCGAAGGATAACCATGATAACAAGCGTGATGATTCTGTGTCCAATGGATCTAAACAAGATAGTGATGATGAATTTAGTTTTGATTCCGACGGCGAAGGCGGAGAGGAAGAGAAATCTAACATTCAGAAAGCTTCCCCATCGATTGTCAAGGCGTTTGATATGGATCTTCTGCGCTACTGTATTTCAAAGGGAGAAGAAAGTGTGCTCAACATTGATGGGAGGGATGTGATTGTAATTGTAGGCAAGACAGGTACTGGAAAATCGACCCTTATTCAAGGCATCGCTGGAAAACACTTCAAGAAGTTGTCCTTTTCAAGTGGTGGGGCGGTATCTAAGAGTATTTTTGAAGCTGAAGATCCCGTATCTGGTTTTGAGATTGGGCACGCCAAGGTATCCATGACAAAGTATATTAAATGTTTCTTTCGCAAGGGAGGTACGGAAGATGAAGCAGTTTATCTCGATACACCTGGATTCGAGGATACAGATGGAGAGGAAGTAGATATCGCCACTTCTGTTATGCTGGCACAAGTAGCAAAGAAGAGTCGCTCCATGAGATTTGTGATGATGATCAACTACGTGTCATTGCTCGAAGATCGTGGCGGAGCTATTCGTTCAGTCCTAAAATTGATGCGCAATTTTGTTACAGATTTCAAAAAGGAAAGGACGAGCTTCATGTTTCTATTTTCCCATGCTGATGAAATAAAAGATGTGCCAGATTCAATTATCGGAGCAAAGAAAAGTCTTTTAGAAGAAATAATTCGCACCATCAGCGGAACCAAGGACGATGGTGTGAGAGACCTTTTGACATTTATTCGCAAGTCCTTAGAAAAAGGATATCCTTTCGTGGACGTGTTGCATCCGCTGAAGACCGACTACAGTTTGCTAGTCAATTTTATGGAGTGTAAGTTAAAGCCAACTAAGAGGATGATTGTCGGTAATGGAGGGTTCGGATTGACGCTTTCATCCCAGATGAAATTGACTGGAGCAGCACAAAAGTTGCTTCGAGCTTTACGAATACTGCTGAATCGTGGTGATGTGGATATCAAAGAAGTGCAAGAAATCAGAAGTTCTTTCGAATACTTTAAGAAATACATTGATTTTGAAGACATGCGAGCAGCTGTAAAGGACTGCGACGAAATTTTATGCGACCATGTGGCGTATCTTCGGAGTGTTGTGGACCGAGAAGTTGAAGCTGGAACGAGTTCCGAAGTTTCCTTCACTGAGGTGAATATTGCTTACCTCCAGGATGCTTTGTCCCAACTTGTTGCCATTGATTCGTCATTCAACATGGATATTCAATCGAACATAATTGTTTCCGAGGTTACCAAGTTTCAAAAAGGACTGTTTACTAATCTTGCACGACGCAACTTTGATGGTTTTCACCAGGACCTGACGAAGTTGAAGGAATGGTGTGGGTTCAGTTCAGATTTTCGGGTGCTTGTCGACCCTTTGATTGACCACGCCACGATGATTGCGAAGAAAGCTAAAGATGAGGTTTCTAACTTTGCTGTGACTAATATTTTTTCATCTTCAGAAGCAACGCTGAGTAATCTTTTCTCCGAATTGAAGGTGTTGGAATCAATTCATCGGAATGAGCGAGGGCTCTCGGTGCATCTGGGCATTGTTTCCCAGGCTCTAGACTCTTTGAAATCATTTTCTATTGTCTTGCAATCTCACCTAAGGGACTGGAATGCAGAACTTGCCCAAGCAGGAGGGAAACAAATCGACTTTAGGAACGAACGAAGCATGGAAGTTATTGCTACACAAATTGCCAATCTGGAAAGAGTTGCGAATCTTTCCAAAGTCTCTCAGTTGGAAAATGAGATTTTCCACTCCATTGAGTTCGTTCGCAAAACGATACATTCCCAAATAATGGGAAAGTGTTCTACCATTTGCTCTGGTTTGAAAAACACCGATTATGGACGCAACGAAGAATGGTTGGATGGGTTGAGTATGTTTCGTAACGCGGTCACGTCATTTTCGACTTTGGAAAGTCCTAGCGTGAGACAGATGGAATCTTCTTACGCCGCCATCCGAGACGAAATGAAGTCTCATCTGAAGACGAAATATGGTGAATTGGACGAGATGTCGCAAAATGCTGCTACTCACGGTCTCATTGATGGAGCGCGAGAAGGTGATGCTGTTTGTAACTTTAAAAGGTACTTGTGGTTTGATGACTTCCTTCCAATAGAAGAATGTTTCGTGCAAAATTGTTTCACTAAACTGATGTCCGATTACTTTCGAGTCGTAACTACAGATTTTGAAACTCTGGAGGCCCTATTGTATTGGCTTGCCAATTGCCATGGAGATTCTGTTGATGCGACTCATGAATTGCGACAGGTATTTTCAACGATCTTAGAATGGGGAATATTTGGTCGCAAGGTCGAAAATGAAGAACTTACTACTGGTGTAGCTGGGCTAGTGGAAAAGATGAACTACTATGTTTCCAAAAGGATTTACAGTTGGGAGGAGGTTCTGACGAAATGGACAGGCGTGATCTCTTTTGAAAGCATTGTTTGGGAGCAAGTGACAGTCGCGACAGAATCTTTGAATGCTGTTCTTGGCGAGATCTCAGAGATAATCGAAATCGAATGTCGCGAAGACATTAAAGAAGACGTAAAGTCAATGAAAGAACAGATCATCACGGCCATGGATATTTTTAAGGAAAATACGGAATTGACTCTTGATGATTCCTTGATTAGCTACGATGAAATAGCTACATCCCTTGCTCGGGTTCAAGCCTTGGGAGATTTCCCACTCACGTCACCTCATCTCCCAAGATTTGATACCATACAAGAATATGCACAAAAGCGAGTAGCGAATGAAGCGAGAAAGATTGCAGATATGGTTGAGCAGACATCTGAATTTGATAAGATCGACCTCCTTCTCCTTCAATTTGAAAAAGCACAGATATTAGATAACTTTGTTCATCAAGAAGTGAGCAACCATCTTCGTCCACTCAAACGCCTCCGTACAGAAAGAGAGATAGACGTGAATGACTTAATCATGGCGCAGATCGAAAGGGAAGATTTTGCGGGTCTAAACTCACTCTTGCGACCATTGTCAAAAACCAAAGACCTGATTCAGAAAGAAAAATTTAAAAATTACGTGTCAAAAATTGATGAACGTATCCTAGAAACACACAAAAAGTTATCAAGTATATTCTGTGGAACATTGACTGACGACAAAGCCCAGAAGATTATTGCGTGTGTAAAAGTTCTTGAACAGGCGAACGAAGAAGTCGGAGAATATCTACCGAAGGGGACGAGAATCAATAAGAAAACGACTTCGTGGAAACGAAAAGTCAATGGAAAAGTCGAGAACATGATCCGCCGTATGAGGTTTGCAATCAAACGAGTCGATTTCATGGAGTTGGCGCGAACAAGAGAAAAAATTACGATTGCATCAAACCACTTCTCGCCTTATCTCATACACGAAGTCGAAACAGGGATGAAAGAAGTTGATATGAAGTATTCCGAGTTAACATTATCCGTGCCATTGCATATTAACAAATTTATCGAAGGCTGGTTCAGCGAATCAAAGGAAATTCAAAAGATCCTTGATGGATTGAAGTCTACAACAAATCTGAAAGATGATCCTATCTTCACCGATTTATCTCAACTTTATAATGATAATGCGAAGCTTCTACTAGAACAAGTGAACGAACTGGTTCAGACTACGAAAGACTCAGTCACAGAAGCTCAATGCTACGATGATTCCATAGCAGTGCTTCAGAATTTAAAACGATCTCTTGATAGCGGTCTTGAGAGGCATCTTCCACAAGAGATCGGCGACGATTGTGATCAAACAATAGCACGTTATGAAAAGGCTCGGAAAAGAGAATTAAGAGTCGACTTCGAAGTTGTATCAGCAGAAGCGAAATTCAAAAAATTAGCGATGCAGATGGACAAATTGGATCCAGAATCTACTGGATTCTTTACTATCTTACACAAATTTTCTGGGCGCAAAACTTATGACAATCTCAAGAGAGAGATTTCCGGTAAGGTACAACATCATTATCGGAAAGGAATAGAAGCGCTGCAGCGACGGGACTACAACACTTTGAATGACAGTCTGAACCAGATGGCCATCATGAACAAAACAATTGTTAAACACGTTCCCTTGGTATCCTCGAAGCTTCAAGAGTTGAATGAAAAAACTCTTACCGCGTTCCAGTCGATATGCAAAAATTCACAAGAAGCTCTTCAATCCGATAACTGTCGAGCTTTTGAGCCCTTATTTGCTGACTATAGCGGTTTTGTGATCAGCGTCACTACCCTAATGAAGGATGACCGTGCGACCAAGACCTTTAGTCTTACTAATCAACTAGTCTACGAGAGGATGGTCAAAGAAGTATCTTCTGTCGAAGACGAGTTAAGTACTTTTGAATTTAATGTCATGAAGCAAAAGATCGAAGAAGTCAGGGCATTCGGTGGTTTTATTGCAGATCGATTTTCAATATTCCACGAGCAATTGAAAGGGGTATTCCATGTAAAGAGTGATAGATGGCTAGGTTTGCTTCGAGGCATGATTACGACGCATTTCCAAAATGGTCGTGACTTGAGAAGACTCAAATTTTATGCTATCCTCGGACTCCCTCCATCTGCATCAAAGAAAGAGATCAGACAGGCGCACGAAGAACAAGTGAAGATTCTGGTTGATTCCCCAAAAAACACTGACTCCATTTCGAAATTAGACCAGATGAAAGAAGCTATCAGTATGTTAGAAAATGAGGGTGTGGTTGAATACAATTCTTCTTCCAAGCCATTCGACGAGCAAGTGCGAGGTATAGGAAACCGTTTGAGGGAAACTACCCGTGAGGCATTGAAAGAACAGCATTATGATCTCATCGAAAAGCTGCTTTTCAAGTTGCAAGGTATAGATGCCATCGGAGATCTTGTTAGTCCTAAACTCGACACTTGCAGAGTCAAAGAAAGTGTAGTTGAGCTTGTAAAAAACCATGTAGATAGGATTCGGGTTGAAGTCATGAGCAACTGGTCGCAACGGATGTATCAAGATTTAAATCACAACATTAGCGACTTGAAGTTGATGGAAGAACGATTTAAATCTCACAAGCATATCTTCTCATCCTCTTGGAATACTGGAATCGTGGATAGTGTTGAAAAAGAAATAGAGAAGCTGGGAAAGCATGCTACGTCGCTCTTGAAAACGAGATCAACCGCAAACGAAAGTCGCGATGAGTTCCGTCGATGCTTTATGAGAATGGGTGCTGTATTAGTTGAGTTGCCTCAGTTCAAGGATCATACGAAAGATGTTATGTCGGATGTTCTTGGATCGTGTCTAAACTCAGACTGGGGATATGGTTTTGTTTTTGATCTAGGCTTGAGTCTACAAAAAGGAGAAGATACAAACGATGACGACGAGGTTCGTATTGCCCAAAATCTTGTGACTGAGTTCGGACATTTTAAGGAGGTGCTGACAATGGTATGGAATGAGGAAACAATTCAAAAGCCACCTGAAGCTACAGTCAAGGATATTCGAGGCGAGAATTTGGAAAAAGAAAAGATGACTGCAATCCCGCTTGATATAAAATCTGATCAGTTGCTGCAGCAATTCTTCGATTTTGAGACAAAATACACGTCGTTGCTAGGCGAATTTTTGGTCCCCGGAGCAGACCTGAATGCTCTTGTTCGAACCATAGTTGATGCTGCCGAGGAGATGAAACCCTTATCATGTGATGATGGCTTCGGACCCGAAACGAAACGTGTTTTGCCTGAATTAATAGCAGGAGTATTCTCTCTTTTTACCATATTAAAATCTGGAGACAGCTACAATCGACTTCAAGACGCCCCAAATGGACAATCAGTAGACTCGTCAAAACTTTTAATGAAGCCTCACAATATCCAAATCCTGACACTATTGTGTATGTTTGGATGTGGGACCTCTGATTCAAGCTCTCTGCGAAGTCAATTAATGCAGATCCGAACTGGAGAAGGGAAATCTATGATCTTGGGTGCTGCTGCTACCATTTTTGGACTCCTTGGCTTTCAAGTTCGTTGCATCTGCTACAGTGAATATCTGTCGAGCAGAGACTTTGAGCTATTTCGTGATGTATTTCGACATTTCGATCTCCTTGAATCCATTAAATATAGCAAGATCACAACTCTTTCAGAGGAAACCACTGCTGCAAAAGGAAATATCCGCGAAATGACCCTCTCTCTGATAAATGGGAATCAATGTGTTGACCAAAAACCTATGTCCAAAACTACCAAGATATCTAATTCCCGAGAAGCAGATGGAAAAGATTCGAACACCTCTTCAAAAACAATGAAGAAAAGTTTCGTCGAAGAAATTATGCTAGTAGATGAAGTAGATGTCTTTTTTGGATCTGAATTTTATGGCCGTGAGTATTTACTATCATTACGATACCAGATGACAATACCCTCATGTGCTACCAATATGTGTGACCTAACAGGAATCTTTTCCACCTTTTTTTGCAATGATTTTGATAGGAACTTACAATCAAGTTGCCGAACTCAGGGAACCTGAAGTTGCAACCATCCTACGAACAATCTGGGAAGGCCACAAAAGAGGAGGGAGAAAGCTCCGTTTAGCTGATATAAAAGCACTCGTCGAATACACCCATCTTAGACACAAACTTGCTGGCTATGAGTTCTTAATCGACAATGAAATTTCATTAATGTTGGATCAAGTTCGACGTGTCGATGATGAGCCAATGTATCATTTGGACCGAGTTTCTGATAGAATCGGGTACAAAATTCAGGACACAATATCCTACAATGTGACGTACGGGTACAGAACTATTTTTGCATATCTGAAAGAGGCAGATAATGGAAACTTGAATAATCCAGCTGGCACCTTAGCTCGAGTTTTAACAATGCCCATATCGTGCGGACAATTTTCGTATGCAAACATTAAACCGACAAGAATTCTTGGGGTCTCGGGAACCCTAGAAGTAATGAGCAATCACCAAAAGATTGTATTACAAAAGTACGGAGTCAGTCAATATCTCTATGTTCCTTCTGTATATGGACAATCAAACTTTAGTTTCGATAAGGGTGGAGAGGGTGTATCAATTGAGAAAAGCACTAGCGATTTTTTCCAAAAAATTACAGACGAGACTGCGAGAGTCGCAACGAAGCAAAGACGAGCCGTTATTGTTTTTTTTAATGATTCGAAACGTCTCAACGAGTACGTCAAAAGCGCTTTTTATCGAAAACTTGGGCGAAAGAAAGAGATACTTACCGAAAGTAAGAATGCAAACGAGAAAGCTTTCATCATTAGCAAGGCTGCTACAGCAGGTCAAATAACAATCTGCACTGCTGTATTTGGGCGTGGAACTGATTTTTTTTCTAAGGATGATGCCTTGGACAACAATGGCGGCGTCCATGTCATCCAGGCATTTCTTTCATGTGACATGAGCGAGGAGGTCCAGATTCAAGGCCGGACGGCTCGCCAAGGTAAAAAAGGATCTTACAAGCTAATCCTCTTGGACAAAGACCTAGAAGATAAATTTGGAATCAAATGTGGATCATTTGGCACGTGGCCCCGGGGACAATTCTATGACAGGTTATGCGAAGCTCGAAATAAAGCTCTTGAAAGTGACTATCTGACGATTGAAATGAGTCTTTCAAAAGCAAAGACGAAAGATGATGCCACTCATCAGTATTTTGATGCCCTTCTGAATTCGAATGTCTGTAAAGCAAAAAGTTTATTAAAGGAAATATACTTGAGTATGAAGAAGAAGCACACTGGTCCAATGAGTATCGACCTTGCAATCGCAATCGACATTACAGGAAGCATGGCTCCTTATGCCATTGCTATTGCTTCCACCATTCAAAATTTACTGGCTGGTCAGAATCCGATACTTGCTAAACTCACGTCAAAATTTCCAGATTCGAAATTCAAGCTACGGGTTGCTGTTTTGGGATTTCGTGATATTGATGATGGAAGCAGACAGTTCGAAGAAAAGCTATGGGATGGCGTTACCCATTTCGGTGAAAACGTAGAAGACACTATCCGTTACGTCAAAAGTCTCACGTCATCTACGTCGGGTGGCTCTGATTTAGCAGAGGATCATCTCGGAGCAATTGATCGTTGCGTGAAATGGAATTCCAGTGACGACTGGAAAGGGATGATCAAGGCCATCTTACTACTGACTGACGCGCCCGCTCATGGTTACGCCCCAAATGGAGATGCAACTCAAAACATCGATAACTACAGTGTTCGGCATCCTCTGGGTCTCACAATGGATTCGGTCGTTGAAAATGTGTTGGACAAAGATATTGATTTGTTCGTTTGCTCTTTTGATCCGATTGCTACCCAGAAATTTGAAGAAAAAATGTCCGAAGCATTTAATAGGCATCCGTCAAATGTAGATGGACGTGAAGTAACTATGGTTCAACTGGTTCCTAAGACAGCCGTTCATAATAAAGCAAGCAGGATGATGGGCGATTCAAGAAAACATAATATTTTCGTCCTAGATGAATCTGGATCCATGAGTAATGACTGGTCTGGAGTTGTACAAGTTTACAACAAATATTTGGAGAATCGGCGACAACGTCAGCACGATTCAGATTTAATATCTGTAGTTCAGTTCAGCGGTACGGCAAGAGTCACTTGTTCCTTAGCAAAGGTCGCCAGTGCTCCTAGGAACTTGGGATATAATGGCGGTGGCACTTGTTTTTCACCGGCAGCAATATGTGCGTGCGATCTTGCCCGTAAGACGCCTCAATCTCATCAACCCGTCGTCATATTCATGAGCGATGGTATGGCAGAAGATTCTCATATTGCATCTTCTCATTTTTTGAGTCTCAACGAAGAATTGAAGACGCGTTCAGGACTCGACCTCGAACTACACGTGATCGGATTTGGTGGGGGTACCGATACGAGTCAACTCCAGGAGATTGCTAGGGCATCGGCGAATGGTCGAGTGCACACTACGTCGGACATCGATAGTCTTTCAAGGGTATTCGTTCAAATCTCCGGTGGCGGTGATAATGTTTCTAGTGTCTTGGAGGCTGAAATAAGCAAACGAATTTCTGATGCTGTCACGAATCGGCTGTCGGTTGAATATTTTGGGTGATTAAAATACTGTAAAGGGTCACACTGATGAACCTACGAATTCGAGCTTTTGAGTCGTGTGTATCAAAAAATGTTTTGCGCTGAAGACGATACCGTACCGTAACTTACTACGAATACCGTTAGCATACTAGTAGTAGAGCTATTAATGGCAAGTCCCCGTACTGGCAAGTTATTGGGTGATTCCCGTTATTATAGAAATGCTATCGTATAGCGTGGGCCACGCGATTCCGGCCGACCCAGTCGTACATTAGAAATCCCAGATATCCGTACATGTATATCAATCAATATTCATCGTACGCCGTACTCCMCCACGCMATTAGAAAGCTMTTTCAATTCTCTTTTCAACCATGTGCTTATCATTGTTAAGCGTCCGTTGGGGACCAAATTAGAGCTGTTAGAGTGAGTTGTACCCTATTTAACCCTCTACGTGTAATTTGTACTGGTGTGCGGGGATTTTCTGCCATCTTTTCACCGTGTAATGACTACTTTGACTCAACCCCCAACKGACGTGCTGCTCACTAAATTTGGMCACTAATCGTGTAAACTCATATCTTGGCAATTCCACTCCTTGATACATTTGTTCTGTGTCCGGTTTATCAGAAGGAACCGTGTCGGAAGCATTTCCCTGTGCTTTTAACACGATGTGTCGATCCCATTTTGTTCTCTTACAATTGATCGAGAACAATACATGCTGTGACCGACAGTACCCCTGCTAAGTATGGAGGATACTGCAAGRAGCAAGCAAAAACTGCATAATAAGCAAAACAAGCAACAGCAGAACAAGCAAGATGAGCAACTCAAAACGCCGGATTTCCTAGTCGAAGATCTCCATAA